AATCCACACAGATACAGTATGTTGTCGGATATTCTTGTATTACGTTTTGAAGCCCAGAAACCTGAAGCACAGTGGCACAGTGGGGCAGTGGTTAGCACTGTTACCTTGCACCTCTAGGTTCGAGTCTCCACTATGGCTCTATGTGTGTGGAGTTTGCATGTTCTCCCCGTGTCATTGTGGGCTTTCCTCTGGGTACTCAGGTTTCCCCCCACAGTCCAAAGACATGCGGAAGGTAATTGGAGTTGCCACATTGTTTGTAAGTGTGAATGGTGTGTGTGCCTTGTCACGGGCTGGTGCCCCATCCTGGGTTATTATCGCCCTTCACCCACAGCTTTTTGGAAAGGTTCCAGACTCCCACGACCCTGCATAGGACAAGCGTCCATGGAAAAGTCACGTTTCTGCCATATACATGTAATGAGAATGAATAGGAAATTATATGAAAGATTCTTTTCAAGCAATACTTTTATAGAAATATCTCTTTAGTATAGCTAACCATCCAAGATATACAGCTAACTGTGCTAACAGTTAGCTGTGATTTAGCAGAACGCTTCATGATTTTAGCATGAAATCATATATTTCTGCGAGATTCTTCAGCTTTGTACTGAATTTCAATCACAAATTAAGCTACCGAAAAGAACAGATCAGGAGGGGATTAAAGGCTTATAAGGACTTGCCTAGAAACAGCTGAGATCAAGCTGATCTGAGTAGCTGATCAAAGGGTAAAACAGTGATGGATGAGCCTGCTGACATCTCATTAAAAAGTAATCATATGTTCAGTGCGAGAAGCATCCAATGGGAGCTCATTTTCAAAGTGAGAGATGGGGGAGAATTCCACCAAATAGCATTTATGATAGTATGACCACGAGGAAGATGTCACTATGGGATTAGATAATAACCGACATACTAAATTCAGTGCATCAGTGTGGCAGAAGCAAACAGGCATGTTTTACCAAAAGCAATGATAAGTATTACAACTAGTTCACACGACAGAGTTCAAGACATAAATAACACATTACTACATAATTAACTAAGTAGAGTATATTTCTGTCAAACAGCAATCATTAACAAAAACACATTGATAAGTGGGAAAAACAATAATGCCCCTCAATGAAAAAATTTATACTCAATGAACTTATTAAAATGATCATACAGGAATCAAGATCTTCATTCTGTACATTTAAATTTGTAAATTTGTCTGGCAATATCTTCTCATTATCTACTAATGGCCTCTTGTTAAATCCCTTTACATCACAAATTATTGCTCAATCTAAAGTCTTCAGGTTAAATGTTTGAAAATCGTTGTCCATAGGGAGAGACATTGGATAAATCTGGGCCAAACAGGGACTGATAAAGCTGGTAAAGAATTGACCCTAAGTACTAGTAACTGCTACCAAAGACATTTACACTATGAAGGATTGGGATTTCAATACTTCAATGAAAATATTTGTTTTTCTCTCTAGTTTTTGCTGACTATTAAAGGGAAGCATTTTACCCCCGAAAAAGTCAGATTCATTATGGGAAAAACAAAATCTTAATATATGTACGGTGTTTTTGTCATTCTGAAAACTGGAACATCACAATTTTTTGCCAGAGCATAAGTTCCAAACATTCAATTATAAATAATTCACACCCGAATGGTGCTGGATCACTCTACTTCCTCTCTGAGAGGGAAGCGACAGGGTCAAGAAGCACCAAATTGTTGGAAGCAGACACATCTGTCCATGATTCTGTGGTACGGTTCTTCTTGCTGCCTTTATGGCTGCAGTTTGGAGAGTACTAAGAGTAATCCATCATCTTCCAGTGATTATCTGATTGTATGAGGGGGCTTCAAAAAGTTCCAATGGCATTAAAAAAGAACAGTAAAAGACATAAACTTTATTTTTCAGCATGAGATCCATCAAGGTCAAGACATTTTGTCAGTGATGATACCAGCGATTTAGTCCATCCTTAAAGAGATGAGGGTCCTGGGACTTTAACCATATCCATGTATCTTTCTTACATCGTCAACTGAAGAAAAATGGGTGACCTTTAAAGATTTTTTAAGATCAGTAAACAAAAAGAAGTCTGAAGGAGCAATATCGGGATTGTAAGGTAGATTATTAACGATTTCCTATTGAAACTCTTGCAACACTGCCCTTGTTTGAAGAGAGGCATGAGCAGCGGCATTGTCGTGGTGGAGATGGACTCTGTGGTGAAGCTTTCCCGCATGTTTTTCTGCTAATGCTTTGGCTAACTTTCCCAAAACCTCCATAATAAGCAGATGCTATAGTTCTTTGGCCCTGCAGAAAGTCAACAAGCAAAATGTCTTGATCGGCCCAAAAAACTGTTGCCATGACCTTTGCTCTTGACGCTTTTGCTTTGATTGGACCACATTCACCTCTTGGTAGTCATTATTTTAATGGTGCTTTGTCTTTGGGATCATACTGGTAAAGCCATGTCTCTTTCCCTGTGACAAGGAATGCTTCAGAATCTTGATCCTGCTATGTTCTGTCCATCATATCCGGCTGATCCCCCTGTCTCCTCCCTAACGAGGCCTTGATGAGTCACACCTGTTGCTTGTTGCTCCTTGTTAATGTTTGTATTTAAGTACCTGTTTGTCTCATCAGCTCCAGTCGGGTCACTGATGTCACTCCTCCTGTCTGCCCGTGTCCTTCCTCGTACTTGCCTTCTTGTTTTGATCCCTGTCAGTCTCGTTTGTTTCCCTGCTCCCGTTCAATTAATAGACCACTTTTTGCCTAACGCCTTCAGCCTGCATGCTATGACAGATTGCACTTGTTTAAAATTTCAGTTGAAAGATCTGCTCTTATCTATAGCTGATCTGGGAGCAACAGTTTTAGGACCCATTGAGCAAGAAGTTTACTCAACTGCAATTTTTCAGTTAGAATTGCGCAAGCTCAATCAACTGAGATGTTTAGGGTGTTGGCTGTTGTTTCTGCTATTGATCATCGGCCCTCCTCAATTAGGACAAGAACAGTCTGCCACTGTGAGCGTCATCTTCAACATTATTGCATTCGTTCTTAAAACGAGTTATCAATTTGTAAACTGCCAATTTCCTTGGGGCGTGGTCCCCATACATTTTTCCTAGAGCATCTATAATCTCACCATTCTTCCAGCTCCCATTTAGACACATTGTTTTGGTGTGAAGAAAATAAAATTCATGCATGCTTTTTTCATAACATGCATTTTCCACAAACTTTTTGAAGACCACTTGTATATGTTTTTTTTTGGGGGGGGGGGTCTATCCCATTCAGCAAGCAGTGCACAGAACACTCATGTTCAAAGAAAATGACGTTTGAGCAGAGCAGATCCCAGGCTTTCTTTTAGGTTTGTGAAACCACAGCATCCACAGACGAGAGGCACAAGCTCACCAGCTTGTTCTCACTGATGCCAAAAATGGAAACTCAATAGACCTACCCAGCAGCTTGTGAATCAAGTTGTGTTTCACCACCTAGAAACATCTCCTTCTGCTCATGGTGATTTTTTCCTATCTGAGCCAGTATCTGTCACCCAGAAAATCCTGTTTTGGCTAAAAATCCTAAATGTTTTCACACCTAGAAGATATATATACACTACCAGTCAAAAGTTTAGGCATGCCAAGCCGCTTAGAAAGGAGAGTGAGAGTGTCACTTCACATGACCTGGGCACGTGACCTAAACAGAAGAAATGGTTTTGAAGAAGCGGAGAATGAAGGAAAAGGAGTCAATATGTGCTCAGCATGTATGTAGGACCTCCTTTAGGACAGCTGGAAAAGCATCCCAGGAGGCGACTTCATGACACTACCATGGAGGAGATTGTAGGGTCTTGCTCAAGGGCCAAATGGGGGGATTACTCTGCAGAACTGGCAACCCTCTGAGTCCCAACTCACAAAGTTGCCCCCACCCCAAAACAAGTTTGATTTTTTTGTTTAATACTTTTGACTGAAATTGTATATGCATTGATACATATATATCCCAAGTAACATATCAGCTTCACACCTGGTTACTGAACTGTGGATCATAAGGCATGACTGCAAAAGCCAAAATACTAGGCATGACTAGATGCCAAAATGCAATTCTCTAAATTGACTTAATCTCTGACAGATATCCCTGAGACTTAATAATTTCTACAGCCATAATACACCAAATATTTAAATATACAGCCTCTGAAAAAAATCACAGCACAATTTTTTGTTTCAGTCATTTCTGAATTTATGGGTGTATCTCTGTGAATTATATACACACACACAGACACAGGCACACAGACACATACACACACACACACACACATATATATATATATATATATATACACATACACACACACACACACACAAACACTTTTTTCCCTCATTAATAAAGGACTTCAGTTCTAGTTCTGCTTCTACGAGCCTGAGATACAAATTGTCCTAGCAGTGCACGTCACAGCTGAACTTAATGTTTCCTGTTCCTTTTGAAGGTCACTTGATGTCATCCTACGATTCTATCAGGTAAGTTGACGGTCATCTCTGGCATTAGAAAATAGCTTCCATCCTCTCACTGGCTTGATTCTGATCATTCCCAGTGTCTCCTGCTTCACCTTATTCTTGTACCGCAATCTTAGAAATTTGAGCCAGGAAGCAGCCTGCATTTCACTGTAGCCTTCTGCCAGTAGTGCCACGATTAAACCAGGATTTAAAAATGCAGATTTGTTTAAAAGTATGGAGTGGTCTCTTAATTTTTTCAGCTGCTGTTTGTATATCTTTGACATCTTTGGCAGTTTGGGACTGCATTTTTAAGAGTCATCCTGTGTACCTCATTCTACCTACATCGGTCATGTCATTGTTATATACTGTATACCTATAAATGTCAGCTTCAAGGAAATCACAGCACTGTTAAGCAAAAAAGCTGGAATTAGATACCATACCTATCGCTTTAAGAGGTGCTCGTCGGTACTGTATGTGCGAGAGAGGGAGGAAAATTTAGTGCGTATTTGTGTAAGTGACAGACAGTGGGGGAGATAGAGAGAGAGAGCGAGAGAGAGAGAGAGAGAGAGAGAGACGTCCGAATTCAGCGAAAGAAGGGGAGTATTCAGAGAGTAGCATTTCGTAGGGAAGCTAGAGAAGGAAAGGAGGAGAAAAGAGAATAGAAGAAAGACGGGACGAGAGAGATTTTAAAGCTGGTTAATTTAGTTTTATATTACATTGAAGTGTACCATAACTTGTTAGATACAAATTTTGTATTATCGTAGTTGCTCATTTTTTAAAATAACTTAATTGAAAAGACTGAAACCGAGCGCCTTAGGCCATTCCTACAAGCCGAAAAAGAAAGACTCAAGACTCAAAACATCACCGGTCACTTTTTAGTTTTAGCTAAGCAAGAAGGTTATTGGAAGAGAAAGAAAGCCTACAAATCAACAGCTTTTGTGTAAGATTTTTACTCATATATTTTTATATAAAAAACGAAATATCAGGACTTTGTAAATATCTGAACCGTTATTTTCTAAGATTACAGTAATAATTAATTATTGAAATTGTAGAAAGTTGCCAAATGCCATGCAAATCAGTGACAGAGGAACAATAACATATTGTGCTATTAGATTTTAAATAGGTTTAGAAAGATCTCAAAGACGGGGAAGACAAGAGTGCATCCCAAATCTCTCCCGGAGCTCCTTGTGGATATCAGTGGACTATGGCCGCAATAACTAGCCCAGAATCTAGCCCACAACCTCGGGTGTATTTCCAGACGCCACCCGATACCGATGAAACCGAAGTTCCGGTTCGGAAACAAGGACGTGTCACCGTGAAATACGATCGAAAAGAACTGAGAAAAAGACTGAACCTGGAGGAATGGATTATCGACCAGCTAACTGATCTATACGACTGTGAGGTAATACACCTAGTCTTTACACAGGCTTAGTATTATCGATCAAATGATTACAATAATAAGAAATCTACACACAGCCAACTGAATCATTTCGGACATAAAGTGGTTTATTTTCCTAAAATAGTTCTTGCTTTAATATTATTGTTACTTTTTTTTTGCAAACATTGATTTCCGAGCGCCATCTCTGAAATATATAGGCTATATTTCTATGATCAGCAGTATTGTGGTGTACCGCTGGCATTGCTTTTATAGTCATAATCATGAATAGATTAACGCCATCATATATAAAATGTCCAGCGGAATGGGTGGTGTGTTCATGCATTGACCTACATTCAGGTCCTTGTGTTTGGACTGGAGCAGTGAGCATTCAGGGTGACCAGATACTGTATTTGTCTTATAGCCGCTCGGTGAGTCGGCGTTGAAACAATAGGGAAAAATAAGATCAACGAAAGAGGCAAATTTGCCTTGAGCACTACGTAATCTATAAATTAACAAGTCACCTTGATTTATTTGCGTTAATTGAAGCAAAATATTGCTTCATTTTGGGACTGGAGCGAATGGTAACCATAAATGCATATAAAATAGAAAATAATGCAAGGATTAATTGCGGGAATCAGATGACTGTAGTTAATTATCAAACTCACAAATGTAAATCGATTAATGAAGTCAAATATGTTACGATCAGATTAGTGGGGAGTTAAAGACCGGTAGCTGTGTGACAAAAGAAAGAAAAGAACATGTGGCGAGGCGTTTTCTCCTCCCCCCTCGTTTTTATCTCGGTGCAGTATTGTACAGTGCACAGCTGACCTTCTATATATCTCTGTATTTCAATCAGTTCCTTTAAGCCGTTTACCAGGTTCACGCCGTTTACCTTTACCCAAAGGCAACAATAGTGAGAATGACAATAACCAGCCGGGTCTTTGTCAAAATGTTCGTTTAATAATGCGATAATTATTCAATCAGTTATTGTGCGGGTGGGGAAGTCGGTTGTTTGCAATGATGGCTCCAGGAAAGACGGGAAAGGTACATGTTCTTTAAAAGGCGGTTTAATTTTGTTTGGGGTTGCGTGTGAGAGCCCGGGCATATTGTGCAGCTGGACTGGCAGGGAAGCGTTAAAAAGGCGAGGCGTGGGCAGAGTTACGGCCAGAGCTCTGTGTCCGGCAGACGCGGAATGAGACGTGGTCAGCAAACAGGGGAGGGAACGAGGGAATGTGGAGAGGGCGGAAAATAGAGCGGAAAAAGAAAGAAAGGAAGAAAGAAATATGAGGCACGAGGTGTGGGATGTTAAAGGGAGGAATACACGTGGACACACGTGTTCTGCACAATAAAACTAGAAGTGTTCACCGGGTCAGTATCGAGTTTCCCGTTAAATGAAGAGAGAAAGTATTTATAAGGGGAATTAAGAAGGCTACATCTTTTTAGTAAATATAAGTGAAAAAACGAAAATTAATGTGCGGAAAGACCAACGAAAGAGTGTAATTGTCACGAATTGTATTTTGAAATTATATTGGTGTTAAATTATAATAGATTATAAAAAGGGTAAAACGTGGATTTGGAAGTGTTTAGAAGTGGACCGTCTGAGAAGCCGAGAGCTATGGGGGGGACGGTGACTGTATGAATCCGGAATAGACACCCACCTCACTACAAAACCTTCTGTCTCTGTCTAATGGACAGGCTTGCCCATTTCCATCTTTTCAAAGCACACAACTGCCCTAATATCTCTAATCTCTTATTTCCAGTGTTACTTTGCATTTGCAACCAAACTGCTTGAAGGATATTATTTTGATAAAGTATTTTTTAAGTAATAAACTTTCTGGGTAATGTGGTAGGTGATCAACAAACATGCTATGAATTTGAACACTTAAACAATTAAATTTTAATTGTTTTGAAAGTCCACCCCCCCCGATAGAAGTTCTGTGGTGATTAAGGATGTGATCTGTGAAAATCTGTGAACATCTCCCAAGAGGAACCACAGTTACTATTTCTTAAACTTACCATTCAGGACAATAAACTCCATAAACAATGACCAATGGCTTCTCTTTTGTTGAACAGGTCTAAGTCCAGGTACTGGTGTATGAAATGAAACTGATACAGTCTGGAGCTCCGGTTTCTAGGCCACATTGAATTATCTGAGAACAACAAAAACAACAATGACTCCACAATGGAAAAGACCAGATTCATAAATAACTGCAGGCGATGGGCAACCTGACATGACTATAACGCCAAAGAGAAATCCTCAAAGGCTTTTGTGCGGAACACAGAGTGAGCAATTCAGGTGTGTGTCTGTCCGGAGGGTTAGGTGTGAGGAACAATGACTGCCAATCTCTGCAGACCCTGCATCGTACTGCTTGTCTAGACTGACTAATTGAATTATTGATCTCTTGTATCGTTGAGCCGCGGATGTCAGGTGACAAAGACAGCGAGGTGGAATATCAGGTCTCAATAAACAACTGAAAAAAAGCGACCTCAATACTTATTGTTATTACTATTATGTGCAGACAGCTAGGAGATTTTATTTCCATATTACCACATCATTTTTATTCTCTTCATGGTTGGGTCCCTTCCTATGAAGAGTGATTCTGTAATTCGGTCCATTATGGATAATATGGGAGAGACAGTTGAGTCACTGTTGATGGCAGAGTGGAGGAAATTTCAGCTTTGTTCTTTTTAGGATTGTGGGAAGTCCTTGGCACTCCAGGAAAGAAATGACTTATTACATGAGGATAAGGTGACTCTCCTGGACGACAAACTGCCCGGACCTGCAGAACTGGGCCTGGCTGCCAGCATTCTAACACCAGTGTTTTTATAGGTCCCACTCAGGACATAAGCACTCATAAAAACATGCTAATAAAGTCTTAACGGACAGATAAGCTAACTGGGCAGCACAGTGTGTTGCCTCCCAAATGCCGCCTCCGTTTTTTGTGTGTAGAGCTCAGACGGTTTTCTTGTGTTGGTTCGGTTTTATCTCACAGCCCAAAGATGTACAGTTGCTCGCACATTAGTTTTGTATGGGTGAGAGTGTATGTGCCATGCAATGAGCTGGCATCCCATCTAGGGTGTAGCCCAGTCTTGTGCCCTATTTTGCCTGGCATAGGCTCCAGACCCCCTTGTGACCCTTACCAGGATAAGCGGTTAGAGGATTGGTGGATGGATGAATGGATAAGATAACTGCCTTTCTAAGCCATACTGCTCAAAATCCCGCACCTTCCTCCACTCCTTCTTGGTGTATTTATAGAAATTGATTATTGATTAAGGTTCAGTCGAACTGGGCTGTAAATCACAGTACATTTCATTATGCAGATTTAGTGCCAATTATCTTAATGACATCCTTGATTGTGTTGGGTAGCCCCCTTCTCTCCATACATCCTCTTCCCTCCCGGGAACCCCAACGGGGCTCCATCCCCCCGAGAACCCCCAACAGGGCCCCATCCCCCCGGGATCCCCAACAGGGCCCCATCCCCCCGGGATCCCCATCAGGACCCCATCCCCCTGAGAACCCCAACAGGGCCCCTTCCCCCCGGGATCACCAACAGGGCCCATCCTCCCAGGAACCCCAACAGGGCCCCATTCCCCTGAGAACCCCAACAGGGCCCCATCCCCTCGAGAACCCCAACAGGGCCCCTTCCCCCCGGGATCCCCAACAGGGCTCCATCCCCCCAAGAACCCCAACAGGGCCCCATCCCCCCCAGGAACTCAAACAGGGCCCCTTCCCCCCGGGATCCCCAACAGGGCTCCATCCCCCCAAGAACCCCAACAGGGCCCCATCCCCCCAGGAACCCCAACAGGGCCCCTTCCCCCCGGGATCCCCAACAAGTCCCCATCCCCCATCTTTCTGAATCACATGGGTCAAAAGGAAGTTGATAAAAAAAAAAAAAGTTTGAAGATTAACCCTTGGCAGCTCAGCGTGAATTTACCTGGCCTTGTGGTGAGGCTCTTTCTGAGAAAAATCTGTCTTTGTTTAATTCAGCCTTGTCTGGAAGCTATACATAGCTAAAGCTTCTAAATCAAAATGGCCAAACGTAGCAGCGAGGTGTGGATGCTTTTCACCATGAGGATGTGAATTAGAGTACAAAGCGGCCTCCCCTTGCCCTTCCTCTTCCCCCCGGCTCTTCCCATGAGGGGAAGCTCAGATTCTGCTTCTTTGTTTTTGGGGGATACTTGTGGATCTCCTTTTGTCAAAAGGCACCGCATAACAATCAGTACTTGGTCTGGACAAACGGGAACACATCGAGCTTTGCAGCCCACTTCTCATTTGGAGAACCTAACTGAAATGGTGTAGGATGGGATTTTAGCCTAAAATACCACAAAGGTACAAAGAAGGACAGCTAAAAAGGCATCTGGGAGTGAATTAGGCAAAAGTCCCACACAAGCAGATAGAGGAAATATCTTCATCATCGTTGAAATTTTTGCATTTTTGCATGTCACAACGTTCTGTGACTTTTAATATTTTGAATTAGTGTAGCTCCTGCATTACCTGCATTACCTTGTAAATGACAGCTGTGACTGTAAATGCCTTGGCAGCAATGTGTTTGTCACTTTGGTGACGCTCCCTCAGAATAGAAAAGCCTGACTGTGAAGGGAGAGAGAGCCTAGTTTTTTTCATGTGTGCCCTGGACCACAGGAGAGTTCATCTAAGGCCTGTCTAATCAAGAATTTTGGGGATTGCTCCATATCTGTTTTGTGTGTGTGTGTGTGTGTGTGGGGGGGGTTCTGTGAATCACAGTTCCTGTCTCCCTTCTCATAAGGACCATAAGCATACCGTCATGGTTAATCACAATGGAAACCAAGCAAACTCCGATAAGCAGTGATCCTGAATGTTTGCTATGCTAATAATCCACAGCTAGCCTGTTTATAGAGCCTCTTGCTCTTTTTTTCCAGCCCCAGTTATGTAAAGACGTCCAGATTGTATGTCTCGAAGGCTGCTGTTTGGTATTAGGCTGCAAACAAAACACCGGCTGAAAACATCCGATGATCAAACTGATGAGCTGATGAACATTTATCCTCTGCTTGTCTTTTTCTGTCATAGTTCCCTTCTGCATCCCCACCCCCACAGCCACCCCCACCTTTCACACACCTCTCTTTGTTAATCAGTTCCTCATGCATAGTCATGCATTAGATAAAGTGATTTGAATACCCAGCAGCCTTTTTTAAGCAATCACATGCCTCCGTCTCAGTCATGCTGTCTTAGTCATTTTCTTTGTTTGATTATAGCTTATACCGACTTATAGGTCTGTGCCTCAGCATGGTTAGGATACTGTACCTGTACCTGTGATCGGAAGGTTGCTGGTTTGAATCCAAAGGTCGGCAGAGTGATTTCACCATTGGTCCCTCGAGCAAAGGCCCTTATCTCCCTATTGCCCCAGGGACTGGCTGAACCTGCTTTCTCGAAAAAATTGAATGTTCCCTTAGATAAAATCACCAGCTAAGTAAATAAATAATAATGTCAATACAAGTAAACTGTTCTTCTCTTTGCTTTACAGTTACTTCATCCTAGTAACTGACATTGCCATTGAAGTAACACTGCATTACACAAGCTTAATGCCTCGACTAGATCCTGTAATCCTTCAGGTACACAACAAGAGCCAAAATGTCCTTACATTATTGTATTCAGCACTACTGTTCTATAATGTGAATAAGATGAAGCCCCCCCTCCAGTTGACTTTGAGTTAAATTCCAGGCACTGTTATTCATTCAGTCTACTCTAGACACACAAACATGCATATTAACACCAACACTGTCTCTCACATATCTTACTCTGTGACTAGTGGACACTTCCTCACATCGTATTCTATCACTTGTGGGTGTTCCCTAACATTTTATTCTATGACTTGTGGACCCTTCCTCACATGATTTGTGGACGCTCCCTCATATCTTTTTCTGTGACTTGTGGACGCTCCCTAACATCTTTTTTGTGACTGATGTTGCCTTACACGCTCACTGACTCCTTCATACACAGCGACACTTCCTGGCTGACTGGCTGCTTCCCTTATGCTGGCGTTGGCTGCCTCGCTCCCACTCTTTCACCCTCTCACAGTGTTGTGCTTATTCCCCTGTCCCCACACGTGCTCATCCCTTGTTCCTGTAGCTAATCCCTGCACATTTTAATTAGCTCATGCTAATATTCCCCCGCCTCAGTGAGGGGGTACTGAACGCGAGGATGGAGAGGGGCTGGCTTTCCATTGATGCCGAAACCGCGGTGTCGCTGAGATTTCCATTGCGCGCTCTTGTCCGCCTGCCGTCGGGTCTGCGCCGGTTCGCTCTCTACGTGTGCGGTCGCGCTGCATTTCATTACACGATGCGATGCAGCTGCTGCGTTTCTCACTGCCTCGTCAGTTGGGCTTGGCGTCGCTCCCTGAAGCATTGTCTTGTCGTTCAGCCTGCTGATTCTCAGTTTCCGGTCGCGATTTGTGTCCTGGTTGACTGCTGTTTTGTTTAGCGTTACTGGCCAAAGGAAGCAAGGTCATACCTTGGGGGGTGGGGGTGAGGTTGAAAGTAGTGATTTTGCTGCTGCAGGAAACAAAAACACTCATACTGAACTACAGAGAAACCCGCAGCTGAAGACCAGACAAATATAAGGGTTTGATGGGGACTCTGTCTGCGCCTGTACAGTTTCGCAAGCAAAGCACACGAGTGTCTACGTGCTCGTCTTCTTCACAATCGCACTTTCTTCTTTACCTCTGTCATTTTCGCCTCAGCCTTCCTGTGTATGTGTCCCCCCCTCCCCCCTTCCAGCAGACCGGTTGCACATGGTGTCAACATGTCCTGCAGAAATCCCCCCCTCCCCCAAGGAGCACATGCTGGTCACTCTGGCTTGCTCACACACACATACACACAGACACACACACACACATACACACACATACGCACGTATACACACACACACACATGCATGGATGCAAATGTTTTTATTACTGTCTTAACCCTTAATCCCAACAATGACAACCTTAACCCCTACCCAGCCCTAACCTCAACCATAAGTAACCAAACTAAATACAAGATATTTAGTGTTTTGATTGAATTCACAAATCTTTGTGGTGATCTGAAAAATGGTCCTCACAATGTCAAAATAACAGGTTTCTATCACATTGTGGGGACCAAAGAGGTCCCTACAATGCAATGTGTACCTGGACCACACACACACACACACACACACACACACACACAGGCAGACACACACACACAGACAGACACACACACACAGTACACTTAATTCCAGGAATATTTCAGTTTCCTGACCATTCACATCTTCCTAGGTCATGCGTCATGCCCCCACCTCCCTTTCTGTCTTTGGGCTTCTTTAAGGGAGTCATCATTGACTCAGGGTTCAACTGCCATTCCCCTTTTGCTCCGTAATCCTCTGTACTGGCATAGGCAGTCTGCTGAAAAGAGCTTGTGCCGGCGTGTGTGTGTGTGTGTGTGAGGCGCTGTGCTGGCATGTTTCTGAGCGCGTTTGTTTGGGGTGTGTGGCAGTGGGCTAGTGGAAGGGGCAGGTGCCCTGACAGCTGCTGGGACCCACCGTTAGCCGGGAGGAGGGGCGGGTGATATGGAAGAGGGGGAGAAAGCAAGGGGCGGGAATGGAAGAGAGAGGAAAGGAGGAAATATGGAAGAAATGGGGCCGTAAAGGAGGAGATGTCTCATAAAAATCAGTGAATAAAATATATTGATGTTTTGTTTATTGAAGTATATTGATTGAGCGATTGCTGACAGGTTGTGCATCAAAGAACGTTTCAATTCGTTGGTGTGTGGAATTTTAAGCACTGGTTTTCACTTTTGTAGTATATACATCAAAAAAAATTAGTCCATAGAAAGTCAAACATAAAAGGCTGTGTGTTTCTGTGTTACAGAGAGGCTTGGGGCTAGCCAGAAATACTGCTGTCATCAACAGAGAAAGAGAGAGGGAGAGAGAGAGAGTGGGAGATGCTCCAGCCTATCGTGTTGATAGGAGGGGGGAGGGGGAACAGAGTGATGCCAAGCCCCACACATGAGGGGATAAAATGATCATTTTGTTTTATATGGAAAGTAAAGACAGAGAGAGAGTGACCAGAAATTGGGGGGGACGAGAGGGGGGGGGGGGTCAGTCTTTGCAGCATGGGTAATTAGGGGCTTCGGGAGCCAAAGACGCTTTGATATTTTTAACTTTGGGGAGAGGAAGAAGAGAAGAAAGAGAGAAATGTCCAGCAACACAAGGAAAGACAGAAAAAGACAAAAATACAGGAGGCCGACAGAGAAAATGAGTAATTCTGATGCTGGCATTAACTTACTGAGCATGAAGTGGAAATACGCGACAAAAATAGAATAGAGTCATTGAGCTGAAACACTACTGTTAACAGCTTGAAGTTATTATTTATGTTCATTGAAAATGTTTGAGAGTCCTGTCTCTGAATATCAGTACACTTTATAAGTGTTTAAATCTCAAGGCAGGCTCTACGCGTCAAACCTAATGGGCTGCAAGAATGAATCATTCCGTACTGCTTCTAAAAAGGGAAGTTGTAGAGTCCTATGTAAAATTCAGTGGAGGTGGTTATTTTTATTTTGACAGAACCTGCTTTAATACAGCTGACGGCACTGCTATATACTCCTCAGGCGTACGACATCGGCATTCCCAGGAGTAGTGACTGAGCAGAAATATGAAACTGTTTACTGGATGTTGTCCAAATGTGGTCTTGCGAACAAATAAAATAGTGTTTGCGTTAGCAGTGCCAGTGATTTGGGGCTGCAGAGTTTGCAGCTGCTGTGTTGTGCAGTTCACCAGTTCAGCTAGAGAATCAAAAGGTCTGATGAAATCAGATACCTGTGTAACTCGATGACTGACACTTGTATTGTCATCAGTTTGATGTATGCTGCTTTATAAGTTTGAAATTCTATTCAAAGGAGGAGAAGAAAATGAAATCACTGTTTAAATGACATAGAAGCGTTTAAGGATGAGAGAAACTTATTGGACAGTAATCTGGGTCCATAACTGTGTAATTATTAGATATAGTATCTGAAACGTAAAGTGTCAGAACTGGGATTCACTTCAGTCCAGTATTTGTACTGGGGACTTGACTTTGGGCCACAGAGACACCATTGTTCTGCAGAAGAAAGCAGACAAGTGAATAGATAAAACAAAACCCAATGTTTTGCTTTACGATCCTCTTTTTTACTCACCCCTTCCTTACGTTCATGTGTCCTCCAGGAGGAAGCCATCCCAGAGCTGGAGATTGATGTGGACGAGCTGCTGGACCTGCCCAGCGACGGGGATCGGGCTTCCAGGGTCAAGGTACAGTCCTTACGCTGGGATTTTGGGAATTCCTGTGGTCACACTGGAATCTGATCTGTTCGCCTGTGGTGGATCACTCTGTCTGAATAGGTGTCATGTGACAATGAGCATTTTGGTTTCTGAAAGGCCTCTATATGAATTGTTATACCCGGGAAGTTTCCTTAAAAGCAGAAGCTTAGGGCACATTGTCTTAAAATTAAGCCATATTATAACAATGGAAAACAAAATAACATTATTGTACTTTTCTGTTGCTTTTCAGGACTTGCTGGTAGACTGTTACAAACCTACTGATGTGAGTTCAAAGCGAATGTTCACCTTTTAATGTTTGTTCTGTTCATTTGCACTCTACAAGATTCAGATCGTCTAAAGAGAAAATATCTAATTTAGGTGGTAAAAATAGTAGAGTAGCAGCATCATGGGAAGCATCCAAAAGGCACTGAATCGTCATAAAGGGCGTGTCGTACTCGTCAGGCCTTTGAGGCTGATGGCCTTCTCCCTGCTGTCCCCCTCCCCCTCCCCCTCCCCCTCCCTCCTCCAATCCCACAGGACTTTGTGACTGAGCTTCTGGACAAGATCCGAGGCATGCAGAAGCTCAGCACCCCTCAGAAGAAGTGAGCGCCCGTCCCTTGGTCTCCCTTTCTCCCCGTGGCTCCACGGCGTTGCTCCTACACGGGGGGAGGGGGGGGGGAGCCGGCGGGAGGACGGGCGGGCGGCCGGGTGCTGCAGTGGTTCCCATAACCCCCAGGGCTGAGTGGGAGGAGTCAAATGAGGAGTCCAGCCAATCAGATATTTTGAGCAGGGTTTTTCTTACGTTACCTCGTTTCATTTTTATTTGTTTGAGGGAGTACGATGTGTTTTGATATCTATCTCTATCCTTATATATCTATGTACTATACGTCTATATATGGATGTATATACATATAGATTTTTTATAGAATGCTGACATAAAAGATTAAAGTGTTTCAATGGGCAAAGGACTGGTTCCAATCCATAATTCATACAGTACTGTACAGTTTGCAGACCCATCAGCCATGATCAGTGTGCTAAAATCACACAGTTACACTGGGGCATCAAGACTGACGTGGCCTTGTTTTATTTATTTTTGTTATTTTTTAAATTGCACGCAGCAAAGGGCTCCTTAAAGACACGGTGATGTGTTTATTAGTAGACTGATGAATTGCTGGATGGAGGTTCGTGTGTAGCGGGTGTGAGGCCGGGGGGGGGTTGGTTTCACCTCTCCCTCCTCATGGACTGTCGTTACACCTTCGTCGACGACGGCTGAGGGCCACACGCTCACCTCCTTCTTAACGTTCAGCAGGGATGCTAACGAGTGTGCAGCTGCAAGCTCGACCTGAGTGCCACCACCTTACCAGGCCGAGGTCCTCAGTCCCACCTTCGCTGGGTGGGTTTGAAGGGGCTCAGGTGAGACGGCAGCCGTGGTACCAAAACGCAGCCGAACGAGGCCATGATGTACATTCCACAAGTCGCCGATTTTGTCCAGCTGAGCTAAATGCTAAAGGCTAAATGCTAAAGCTGTGCACGGGGCCACACTAAAGGTACTTATGAGGTGTAGAAATGCACTCGAGCCATAGAGGAGCCCTGGTACCAGCACATGCAGTCTCAGGTTCCAGAAGATAATCAGACTGAGTTTGCTAAAGCACACAGGACTCACCCAGAACTTGCAAATTCCAACACATATTCACTGTACTAATATGAAATACAACTTAAGGAGTATATTTAAAATAGTGGTCCAATATAACAAATATATCCATTATTATTTATGCAATTCAATACATGCATTAAGCTACATAAATCAAGGAAGCAATAACAGAAGTTTATGTTGAATTGCACATGTTTTGCATATGTTTCAAATATAATCCTTACATTTTTGGTTTCATATTTTTACAAATGGATGTGCATCGAGGGTGGACAAACATGACAGTGGTATAAATTAGGGGGCTGTTATGGCCACAGACGCTGTGTGCTCATACGATTCTGAAATATCATGCTGGTCAATGGATGATTTCTCTACAGCTTCTAAGCTTGTAAACTTTCTTGTTATTTTTTAACACATTTGGTTTGAAAAAAAGGCATTAGAACAAATGGTATAATCTAAATTATTACACATTTTTTATTGAGTGGTTTGTTCTATTCAGATTCCATTATTATGCTATTTGGCATTTTAAAGACAAGACGATACTTTTAGTTTGTTTCTGTTCTAATTCAATGATTTTACTTTTTTTCTTTTAAAAAAGTATCTGTGGGGGGGGGGGTATTATGAGAACATAAGTAAACGATTATCCAACTACAGAATTGTAAATCGTATTCAACAGTAGCTAAGGCAATTTGGAGCTGAACCTGTTTCGTTTTGCCACCCTTTTGGTGTGGAAATGTTTGTGCTGTTTGTGGTATCAGGGCCCTTTGAGAGGAGTATTGTTCATAAATTGCAAACAAAAACTGCCAGATGAAATGTCCCGTAGCATCTGCAGAGCGCTGAGAGCTGCTATATGTTTCATACTGAAAGTATGTACCTTGGTGTCTGCTAAACAGTGCCGCTGATAAACAAATCCATTGTTTATTCTTCTCCAGTTATTCTGATTTGTAGCTGGCCTGATCCATTGGCTGTTTACGAGTCAGCTGTGCTAAATCATCCAATGGCTTCAGAGGATGGTTGTGAAGGTACATGTGAAAGATCGCATGCTTATAAACACTCAGGGTCTTTGAGGGTTCTTGTGTTCGCCGACACCCTCCGCCCCCCCACCCCCCACTCTCCCTCGCACACATAAATCCCTGTCCCGTTCATGTTCATCCCAACTCTTTTAAATTGGCAAATAGCAATTGTGCTATTTTATACTTGTGCCCTGATATACTTGCTTGAGCCAATCAGAGATGAACACGTGCATTAATAGTAACAAGAAATAGCAGTGTGCCAGTATTACACCTTTGCAGTGTCGTGGCCTAATCCCAGCCAGTGTGCCCTAACTCAACCCAATCCATGATCAGAACCGAAGCGGGTCTCCATGGTGATATTGAGGGACTGTAATCTCACACATGCTGGCACCTTCCCGAAGGGCTCCAACCTCCCCTAATCAGAGATACTGATGTCTAACTGGTGCTTTGCGACTAAATAGGGGACCAACTGCAGCCTGAAACAGAGATCAGTGCCACTGAATGGAGTGGAGCCATCTGAAGAGCAAAATCTGCAAATGTATGAGGACCCCAACCTTCTCTCAGGCCTCCCACTGGCCACACCTACCCTCCCTGTTCATCTTCGGTCTCGCTCTTGTTCCAGCACTCTTAAACAGATGTTGCCTTAGGTTTTACTGGTTTTATTTATGTTATGGAAACCAAAAGGAGCAAGACATTCATCTATAAAATGTAACAAAAGAAGAGGCATACACGGTATTAAGGAAGCTTCTGAAAACAGTCGTCACTCTTGTTACCAATCCTTGTGACAACCTTTACATTTTTAGGAGAATGGATAGAGATTAGATCTCTTTACAGTTTATTGTTAGGTGCAATTGTTCACGATTTATATGAATTGATCAGTTTTTCCAGTGTTTTCCAGATAGTGCTGTCATATTTTTTTTATTGTACTTCAAAAAGAAACAAAAAAATTAGCACTGCTGTCTAGGGTTGTGTTTGAAAAAAAAAACATCTTCATGTAGCAAAATTTACTGTCCTGTTTCCCAGTTTTGTTACGATTTTATGCAACTTTAATAAAAAAAAAAGATGCTGAACTCTAGCTATCGTTCTTGTGTTTCATTTTAAGCTCTCGTGGTAGGAAAAATAGGATCTGCTGGCTGCCTTCTGATGTCACAGCTTTTGATATGTTAGAGACAGAGATCCTCTGAGGTCTCTGACAGAGGTCCGGCAAACCGCTGGAGTGCAGTGAGTGTAGTCCCATACAGTGTTTCTCACACTGGTCCTTGGGGACCCACAGATGGTCCACGTTTTTGCTCCCTCCCAGCTCCCTGCCAGACAGCCCACCTTTAGGGAGATGGGAGGAAGCAAAAACGTGGACCATCTGTGGGTCCCCGAGGACCAGTTTGAGGAACACTGGTCTAGTGCCTGCTGGGTGGAAAAGTCACGTGGAAAATGTTTTGGAGATAAATTTTTGCCACGTTGAATGGCCAAGCCCAGCTGAAGATTAAAAAAGAAGAAAAACATTATCACAGATGAGCTTTAGGGTTTAATGACAAGTGAATGGAAAAACAGCCACATGACACCAAAATAAACACCATAAACTGACAAAAAACTGCAGTGACTGTCTTGCTGTGGTAACGATGTGCTGGGGTGGCAGCTGACCCAGGACATATGGTGGTCCTAATTAGCTACATGCTGCCTCTTGTAAGACGCCAGTTAATGAAAGGCAGTTGGGAGGTTCAAAGCCTATTTATCTGAATGAAGTCAACAACTGGACAACTTCAAGGCCAAAAATCAGTTAAAAATATTTTATAATGCATGCTTGATTGGATTTGAGAAACTGTCAATCCCTGGTTTAAGTAAATAAAAATATAAATTGTTGTGTTTAAGTTTAATCAAGGCTAATGTAATGATGTAGTTCAGAAACCATTACCAAGTTCAGCTTCAAAATTCTACTTTAAACTTTGCACCATTTTGACAGGCTTCCACATTAAGTGTTTCATGGAATAAAATAAAATTAAGCAAATATAAAACGGATTTAATTAGAATACCCAGTTTAGTACAACTGAGAAACAGCTGCACACCAAAGTAAAAATAAAAAAACTGGACTACTGGAGCATGTTCGCTTTCTATTCAGCTCTACTATTTGAAAATGAGTATGGCGCCACCTGCAGGACAGACAAAAAACAGCAATTGCAAGGTTTCAGGAACTACATTAAGGATTGTAAATAAGACCACAGGTTATAAACACTGAGTAGTATACTTCAATAAGTGCTCTTAAGAGCTTAACTTCCTGTTTAACTCCATCAACATAACTGAACTAAGAGCAACATTGACTCAATACTTTATGACAACAATATATGGTGAAATGGCAACAGTAACTATTAAACAACATAATTTAAACAACTGCTGCAACTACAAAGTGGTTTACTTTTCATATAGATTGTACTGAATTAAGAGCTTTCACAAAGAGTTGAACGTTACTTCTTTCTAATTGACTGGCAGGCAGGTGTTTTATCGCATTTTGTACCCTGTAAATGCAAAGCTCGTGAACAGAAATTCTAAAGCAGAGCTTGTACTGTATGGGCTAATACAAATGATTAACCATGAAAACTTGTCTTTCCAGTTTCCCTCTCACAACACAGCTTCCGCCCAGGAACAAATTAGTTAAAAAAAACAATACTTAAAAAGCATCTACAGTTCATATTGTACACAGATAGAGTGCTACTCTGTGATGGAAACAGGACGCAGCAGAAATACAGTGGCCATAGAAAGTTTTGGGATGCTTGCTTAATTCTGTAAAAATGTTGCAAATGATTTCATAACAAAAGTCCACTGATAAATAACATTTAACATATCTGCACATATTGTCCTTTTTTCATAGTTTTTTCAGTCATTCAGTTCTATTCTTGCCATTTCGCTATTAATTGCAATTGCATTCACTGGCTCCCAAATGGATACTAAACACAAATGTTTGGTGTTTTATGCAGAGGTGGAGACTTCAGGTCCAGAGAGTACAAATCCAGACCGAAATTTTGTTTCAAAACATCAGTTGAATACTCTTGTGACTGTGACTCTTTATGCCCAACTGGTTGGTCAAAACAAAATCTTGGTGTGGATTTGTACTCTCTGGAAGTGAAATCTCCACTTCTAGTTTTATGATATTGCAGATGTGTTACTAATTAAAAATTCAGTTTCAAATGTATTACTACTTTAAAATAATGTTTTACTTAGAACTACTGGTTGTTTTTAATTAATGTGATATATTATGTTTGGAAACATATGAATAAAGTAATGATTTTTGTCATTCAATTCAATTCGTTTTTATATGGTGCCTTACACAACAGAACTGCTACAAGTAGGGAGGGAAAAAACCTCTGGGGGTCCAAGGTTAACTGGCTGCCCAACCCCCCCGGGCATGTTGACATTATGGACAAAGAAAGGGGGGGCTTGTTGCTAAAAGCAAGGTGTAAACCGTGGTCAAGGTCAAAGCCAAAGTCTATGAATGAGTCAGTATGTTTCATTTCTCTGTTCCTTTGTCACATATGATAGGTCGGCCGAACGAGTTTGGTATCCTGACTGCTTCCAATGCAGGTTGTTACTCTGTCAACATACTGAACTCGATGGAGTAGTGTTTTCTGTGCTCAGTGCCAGCTATGGGCCTGCAGAAAATGCACAACTACAGCAGATACTTTGAATGAAGTTCATAAAGCCTAAAACATTATTGGTCTGAAACTGGATGAATTGCTTTCTTTATGCATAATTTGCGTGTGAGCATGTGTTGTGTATGTGCCCTGTGGACTGCAAACCCATCCTAGATGTATCCCAGAGTCCTGCTCTGCCTGGGATTGGCTCCAGACCCCTTTTCTTCCAAAACCTGTAAGGTCTGCAGACCTGGCAAATTATAACGAGCACTTTGACTCAACATGAGCTTCTCAAAATGGAGGCTCTTTTAATGCTGAACCCATAAAAACTTCTCTTTTTCACACATATACGGCTATTAAATATTTTTGGACAAATGAGAGAGGAAAAATTACCATGTAAATAAAACACAGAAGCTCTTTTAATAGTGACAGCTTTTTATTTGATAGATACCTGGGCCAGAATTTCTAAAATACAGCAAGACTCTAAAATACTGCAAGCTGCTTTATTTAGTTCGACAGATATGATTGCGCGTGCGATATGAGAGACTTTTATTTTGAAAACGAGACCGAGAGACCGGAAGCTATCAGGAATAGCGAGAGAAATCTCGATCCTGTTCGGTGAATCGATTCCGTTGAGTTCGTTCAACTACTCATTCGCTTCCGTTCCTCAGTGTTTATGGGTTCCGCTTGGATATTTCTCCGTTGGGAGTGAGGGATTTAATTTTCATAAAACATAGGGTGATCAGATAATCCATGTCAGGGAGGACACTCTGAGCTAGGACAGGAATTGTAAATTACCATTTCAATTAAAAAGACCTGGATTTCACTTGATCACTGAGTTCTTGCTGTGTGCTGATTNTCTCCTATAATCATGCATGTGTCACTAATGCTAATGTGAAACAGCTGGATGAGTCTTTCAGTCAAGGAAACAAACCAGTCAAAGCACAAGAAGAGCTGAACTATTTAGCCGAGCACAGGAGCCTTTCAGTTTGAAAGTAGTTTGTAAAACCCGAAGTAGCTCAAAGTGTCCTCCCTGACATGGATTATCTGGTCACCCTAATAAAGCATATGCATTACATTTCAGTTTACTTAAATAGATTAGATATGTATTGTATTTATATTCCATTCCACTCCATTATAATTATTTTATATTCAAAATGCAGTAAATTTCCTATATTTTATATATCAATTTTTTTTATACATTAACTTACAATATGTTAATTGTATCTCGTGTGCGGACTCTTCCAGACATCTCTACATCATTACACCAGTAGGTGGCGAGAGGGACTCTCGGAATGGCGTATTTCACTCATGAATGAACTGAACCATGTATCGCAATCATTAGAACAGCTGAAAAGAATCCGCGCAGTGACCAAGATTTCTTTCACTTAAAGGTTCGATCAAAAACAAGAAGATATTACAACAAACTAACGCTTAAGTGTTTGTGTCGACTTTAAATAGCATTACAAACCGACGGTTATTCTATTCATAGCGTAAACATTAAGGTATATTTAGTCCAAAGCCAAACTACTACAATCTTAATGATAAACGAATGAGCGCAAATAAACAATGGCCAACTGACAAGTAACTGGATGGAACGGGATGGCTGCAGGTCCAAACGGTGTTCCTTGTGTTATCATTACCGGTCCCTGTCGATGTGGCGCCCTAGACGAGAATTACCACCAGAGCACCCCGCCCAAGCCAAAGTGAAATTAGCTAGCATGCAATTTAGTCGATCGGCGCCCTCTCAGAAGCTGGCGCCCTAGGCGGTTGCCTATGTCGCCAATAGGATTTACTGGCCCTGGGTGTCACACTATTGTGCATGTAAGATTTGTGCAGCTGAACTGAAAAAAAATCCAATACCGCTCCCAGAAGTACGCAGTTAGCAAACCAAACAATATATTCTACGGACGAAATTTATGGTGAAACGTAGGCGCAACAAAAATAGGCCTAAAATGTTTTCGTTTGTTACATATATTTTTTTCCTATTGTGTCTAGCAAAAAGACGAAATGCACAGCATGACTTTATACTAAAGGTTAACTTGTGACGTAGGCTATTACTTCTTATGTCTTCGGAGACACTGTTACTCTCATCATTACGTATACGTAAAAATAAGTATAACTGTATTTGGTTTATTAGCAGAGAATCAGACAGAACCCTCCTTAAAACGATTGGCCTACAGAGCATAATAAACCCATAGGCATCTTCACCTGCGCTGTGGACGCCGATTGTGTCACGTATCTCAGTGAGGGACTTTTACTGGTTTACTGGGCATCAGCGGCCGCCGTTGATTGGTTACAATAACGTGGTTAAGAGTCCAGTGAAGTAACATTGTAACTGAGGAAGTAAGAGACTTTTATTCCCGAAGAATTCATCTATACACTGGTCTTTGTAGGCACATTCTTAAGTTAATAAAGGTAGGAGCAGTCGGTGTGTTTGTATACTTTGCATAACGTATGGTCACAGTTTTACCCGCTGTATAGTAATAACCCTTGTATAACGCAAAATGGACATTAGCATTATTATCGCGAACTGTTAGCTACTGTGAACTGCACTGTCTAGCGTTAAGTACATTCATAAATGTGAGAAATGCATCGTCAATTTGATTGTTATCACTTTGTTTCGATGTATAACCAAATGGGAAATATTTCTCAATAGGTTATACTGTTCCATATGTGCAAACACGTAAACGAAAGTACATGTATCCGGCTGATCAGACGGGCTGATCACTTTTCGCTAATCGCTTGTTCCAAGAGCGCTTTTAAACAAATGAAATATATTTAAAATTTCCATAAATGAAGTTGTAACCTTGTGTTTGCTCATGACCCTGTTTTCTGTTAGCGGCCCAACGCAAAGGGACTTTTATTGTCATCTCAGCAAGGAGTCAGATCATGTCTGTAACGCAGTACATGGTGTAGTCAGATGCTGGCAGTAAAAGTTAGTTTAATTATAAAGTGTTTACCAGTCTCGCGGTACACTTCAGAGGTGATTTAATCATGCATAGTCTCGCATCTCTGGTATATTTGAAGGGCATCGTGGTACATACCGTAAGACGTAGGAGGAATTTGGCACTGCCGCATTGTTATAATACTTTGGTTTTGGCCTGTTGTATAATTAACGACGCATGCGTTGCTTTTTAAGAACCATATTAAATATAGTTACAATTCTGCTAATATTGGTAATTTTTATTTTTGCATTGCACCGCAGTATGTTATGGCGTATTCATTTTTTACTTTTAGGCGAATTACACTACTAATAGTACCTTGTCTTGTGATCTATTTTATATCGGGAAAGGGGGGGCAGTGGAGGTTTTTATTGTAAATCCGTTTTAACAGCGCAGTACCTACCCACCACTTCCGCTGCCACTCACCTTGTCCTACTAACAATGAATCTCTTCCTCAATTTTTTTTTTTTTAAAAGAATGTCAGGTTATTCCAGGCCAATTTCTTCTCCTTTTATTGCGATATTGTATGTTATATTCAGTTAAATTAAATAAAATAATTTCTTGTATAGCGCATTTTCGCAACATTACATTGTCTCAGCGTTTTACATTATCCCCGCCCAAAGTCCCCAGTAACTAAGCCAGAGTGACAGTGGCAAGGGAAAAATCCCTTTCTTTGGGAGGAACCAGACTCAAAGGTGGAGCCCACCCTCCTGGCCTGGCAGGGGAAGCCCAAAGTAACAAAATCTTAGTTTATAAAGCAGAATTATGAATAGAGAGAGAGGTAGGTAAGGAGCAGGCCCTGATTACAGTGCATTACCCCACCCACCACATGACAAACCACCTCAGGGATGAGAGCCTGAGTGCAGCCACATGGCAGGTGATACCTCAGCACCACACTAGTCTGAATGGACTAGTGTGAGTTTTTTTTCTCCTGTGGCTGTAGTGCCAATCCTGCCACCAACCCCCAAGCTTTTCAGTGTAAGTTGGCACACCTCCTTATAGGGCTGGATGTAGATTAACATCATACCCAAGACAAAGCAATTGCAACTTAAGGGCCTTGCTCAAGGGTCCAATGGAACAGAACTTTGGGAATTCATGGGATTTGAACCAGCAACCTTCCAGTTACTGGCACAGATCCCTAGCCTCAGAGCCACCACTCCACCCATGTGGGAGGTCTGCTAGAGTTATGGATGCTGATTTCTGGGCAGGGAGGTGAAAAGGATGGAGGGGTGGTGTGGTCCAGTGACTGTGCAGTTATAATATTTTATAATTGTATTTTCTCTTCATAAGTAAAATAAATGTGATTGATCATAGCCTTATCCAAAAGAAAGGAACAGATGCATATCTGAACATTTGTAGTGTTGGATATTGTGATTCTAATGGTGCCATGGAGTTGATGCTGGCATCTTAGCTGCTCTCTGTGTGACGTAATGGTAGCTGGGGGCCCCGTCTGAGCTCTGTCTCCTGTCTGTAGCTGTGCTGCCATCTGTGCTGCCATGCCGGCACATCCCACACCGAGGGAGCCCGAGGAGGAGCTGGACCCGGAGCAGGAGGTGCCGGAGGCCAACGGGGAGCTGGACGAGGAGCGGGAGCGTGAACGGGAGGAGGAGACGATGGAGGAGAGCGGTGAGGACAGGGAGAGTGAGGCGGGGAGCAACTCCGAGGACAGCGAAGCTGAAGAGGAGGAGGAGGAGGAAGAGGAAGAGAGCTCAGGTACTGAGTGTATGGTGTATTTTACCAAGCTCTCATTGCATATGGGAAGATCTACTACTGCACCCAGACTATGGAACTCCTTGCTGGCAAATATTAGATTTTCCCCATCTGTCTCAGTCTTTAACAAAAGGCGTATAACTTATTTAAAACTTATTTTTCTATTGTATCTTTTACTCAGACCTTTGAGTGAGTACAGCTGATAAAGGCAATTTACTTGGTCCCTTTGGAGTGTAAATGTTTTCCCTTTGGGGTGTTTTATGTCTTATTTAGGGCAGTTTTATTTTTGTATCTATTTGTTTTGATGGTATGAATTGTGCAGCCCTTTGGTGAACACGAGGTGTTCTTGAAATGTACTTTATAAATAAAATGTATACTGGAACCAAAGGGGCTATCAGGGTAACTTCTGGAGCATCATTAAGGATGCAGTGATAAACAAGCACAAAAAACATCCCTGCAAATAATCAAATAATGTAACACAAACCAATAACAATTTACTTTATGAAAGCCTGAATTGTATTAACTTTTTTATGTGAGGCAAACAAGGTTAGTTACTTACTGGGTGGTACAATTTGTAATCTACCAATCACCTGTGGTTTTACACAGTTCAATGTTATGTCATCAGTAGCATTAGCTATATCTTAACTTTACGTTATGAGGCAAAAAAGTTTGGTAAGGGTGGGTCGCTGAGCCATGCTGCTCAATGAAATGACACAGACGGTTCTGGGTTTTAGCCACAAGGTGGCGTTTATTGCACCGTAGCAGGCGTACTCACAACACATTCGCACTGCACACCGTGCGTGTCGCCCCACTTCCTCCGAACACATACACACACATACAGACAGTCATGTAATCATATCATTTTGGGGGCCGTTCATTCATTCCTATGGGAAAAATGCTAATGCTAACTATGACAACCTTAACCCCTACCCAGCCCTAACCATAATCATAAGTAACCAAACACAATACAAGAGTTTTTGCATTTTTAGTTTTTTCATTGCAGTCGCGGATTTTTATAAAAGAGTTTTTCATATGGGGACCAGGAAACTGGTCCCCTTAAGGTAAAAAAAAAAAAAAACAGGTATTCATCACGTTGTGGGGACATTTGGTCCCCACAAGGTAAGGTATACCTGGACCACACACACACACAAAACAGTACGCATTTAACACTACACTTAACACAATAACACAGCACGATTACGTTACACACAATGGCTACAGAGAACTATTTACAAAGCTGGCATCAGTCCAGCCTGCCACGCTGCTGCCCTCCTGCACTGCCGTTCTACAGTATTTTGAGGTGAGCAAGCTTCCACAGTTTAGAAATAAAATGAAGAGGCAAAAGGTTCTTCAGAAGCAAACAGATGAGTAGGTACAACTTCATGCCTGCTTGATGGCCCACCCATGTTCCGTGGGCTGTATCGTATGGAATCAAAGGAGACGGACAATTACAGTAGGAATTTCCTTTATCTCCCAGAGATGGACGATGAGGACTACGAGAGAAGGAAACTGGAGTGCCTGGATGAGATGTCGGATCTGGAGAAGCAGTTCATGGAGCTTAAAGAAAAGTAAGCGGGACAGAGAGGTAGGGCAAAGTCTTGTATCTAACTAAAAACACCAAGTCTACTCCATTTGGCCCATGATCTCCATGTCCACCTTTCCAAAGCCAAATCACATTTTTCTAGTAAAAAAAAACAAGGTTCTTTAGTATCTCCACTAGGCATGGCAGGAAGAAGTCTCACGGTTGGAGGGGATTATTGTATGTTTTTAATCACTGGTTAGACTAACCCATTCTAACAATTTTTACACTTTTTAATGCTTTCCACTGGGTTAAACTGGTGATTAATCTACCTTTTGTAGCTTTCAAACTCACAAGTCGTACATCACAAATCTGGCACAAATGATGCCAATTTTTTTTCCATCACTTATGAAGTAAACACCCATTTATGGAGTGATGTTAAAAACATGTTTTACCGCAGGAAATTCAGTGGTAAAGGCCATGATTACCATCTCATCCATTAACAGTGCCACGTTTTGAAAGAGGCATTGCATGGACCTTAATCAAATGTAGTGGTGAAAGAAGTTGGACTTGTGACCATAGGTTCTTTGCAAAGAATCCAAATGGTTGATAAGAGCTCGTATGGTCTCTGAAACAAGGCACTGTGACGTCTAGCAGGCTGCAGACACAAAGGACGCCTTCCTACCAGGCAGCTAAAATGACTGTAATCTTGGTAATCATCTCCTATCAGCTGTAAAGCAAATTGTCCAACTGAGACCTATCCCTGGGTTTCAGGATCAGTCCTCTCTTTTCACAGGCTGTTCCGGGAGAGGTTAAGCCAGGTGAAGCTGAAGCTGGAAGAGGTGTTGGCAGGCCACGCAGGGGAGTACAAAGAGCCACTGGCCGTCTTGCAGCGGAACATGCAGCTGCGCACAGAGGTCGCCGGTACATCCGATTGGACGAACACACACGGGATGCTGGGCCGGGCAGCACCAATGACACAACCAGTGATGCTGAGCTCAGTGCATCGTACAGAGAACATTAGGGCTACGATTAAGTAACAGAATGTGAGAGTTCATTACACAGACCTACCATGCTCTCTATATATAGTAGGATAATAATGAAGTCCTACAGTCTCCCTATGTACTCTTTCACATCATATACTAACATATTTTTTTGGTTCATTTTGCTCGCTCAGGTTTTACACTAATATTTATACAGTTTATTTATTAAGTACGCTATATAGCCAAAAGTATGGAGACACCAGCGTGTTCAGAACCTCATTCTGAAGCCAAGGGTATCAGCTGAAGTCAGTCCACTCATTGTTGCTATATTAGCCTCTCATCCTCTGGTAAGGCTTTCCATTAGATGCTGGAACGTTACTGGTGGGTTCTGCGGCCATTGAGGTTGGGTATTGATAATGGGTGATCAGGTCCCTTTCACAGTTGACCTTGATCCCAGATATTTTGACCTTCACAGTCACTTCATCTGCGGTCGACTAGGGCAGTTCTAGCACGGCGGGAATGTGGCAAACTGACTCTTTGGAAAGATGGGATCTTCTGGTAGAAAGTCACTAAGCTCTCCTGTACAACCGCTCTGCTGCTAATGTTCTTTGCAGGAGATTGCAGGACTGAGGTGGAAAGTTCAGGTCCAGAGAGTACAAATCTAGACCAAGGTTTTGTTTCAACCAACCAGTTGAGTACTCTGTGACTGTCACTCTTTATACTCAACTGGTTGGTTGAAACAAAACTTTGGTGTGGATTTGTATTTTTAGGACCTGAACTAGGTGTGGATTAATTGGGCAGCTCCTCTCATTAATAGGGAAGTCCACATACCATATACTGTAGTGTACCTTGCTTAGCTGATAATTGCTACTAAGGGTATGAAAAGGGGATCCTTCTTAGCAAACTTACCTGTAGTTACTGTAGTGCCTGAATTGGTCTGCTTATTGTTTGGCAGGGGTCTACAAAGAGCTGTGTCTGCAGGTGATCAAGCACAAGTACGACTGCGAGCTGCAGGGGGCCCAGCAGCACCTGGAGGTAAGGGACCCCCCCCCCCCCCCCCGTACGCACCGGGGCCATATGACAGGGGGAGGGGGAGCTGTGCTGAGGTGTGATCGCTGTGTCCTCAGAGTGAGCGCTCGCTGCTGTTAGACACCATGAAGACGGAGCTACTGGATCAGATCCATAGACTGGAAGAAGAGAGGCAGAGCAGGGACATCAGTTCCGGTATCTGCCCACTCGCACATACACACCCTCACTTCCCAGTGACTCACACTTTTTTTAAATGTAATTAATGATTCTTAATTCCATTCCAGCAAAATGAATGAATGTTGCATAGCGCTTTTCCCAAGACCTAAGGCACTTTACAGGACCACTGTGTAGCCCCCACCTGGATGATGCAACAGCAGCCATTCTGTACCAGTACACTCACCACACAGTAGCTAATCAATATAGGAGATGATTAGGAGGCCAGATTTGATAGGGCCATGTTAGTGAGGACATCAGGTTAACACCCCTACTCTTTTCAAAGAAGCCCAGGGATCTTTTATGACCTCGGAGAATCAGGACCTTGGTTTTATATCTCATCCAAATGGCAGTGTGCATTTTTACAGCATAGTGTCACTGCACTGGGATCCACACTGACCACAGGGTGGAGTAACCTGTTGGCTACACCAACACCTCTGCCTCAGCAACCCAGCTTTCTGAGTTGGTCCCCCATCCAAGTACTGGCCAGGCCCCAACCTGCTTAGCTTCAGGTAGATTACTTCCTCTGAGTTGCAGGTTGTATGGCTACTGACAAAAAGATGAATGAAAATTGGTAATAAAAGTGTGTTCCTCTACAATTCATCGCTAAGGGCACAGTATCTTAAAAGACCTGTCACAAAGGAGTGCTAAAACATCTGAGCCAAACAAATCTTCAGACCCGAATGCCCCAGGCTTGTGACACATCTGCTATCACGTCCAAACAGACACTGGCAATCAACGCCAGTTTGTATTAGCGCTTCATGTCATTCACATCTAAGACCAGAAAACCACTGAAACCATACACAGCCAGAATATGGCCTCCGAAGGGATTGATCAGGGCTCCGAAGGGATTAATCGAGGCCCCCGAAGGAATTGATCGAGACTCTGAAGGGGTTGTTCAGAGCTCTGAAGCCTTATTAATAGTATACAACTCCGAGTAAACAGGTGCAGCCTTCTGAATTCCACTGAGAGAGCATGGAAACATGGTTTTCCCTGGTTAACAAGCTAACAAGATGGTTATGAATATATAAAGCCTAAATTAGAACACTGAAGCTGTTGTCGTTATTAAAATGTGCTATTCCAGTCCAGTCATGGTACTAATGCTGCCACGTCAGAATGATTGGAGGCCATTCAGATCCTTTAAAGCTGATGAGTTAAATCTGTACATTCCTGTCAAATTCAAGCATAAACATCTCGGCATGTTTTGAAATATTACCGTTAACATGACTTGGTACCTGCATGAAATTTTCATATTAAATTATTTCAATATATGTTCTCTGAATAATGAAATTGGTTTATTACCTTATTGCTGTAAATAGTTTGGAAGGGAGGCTTTTTATGGTATGTCAATACAGAGTGAGGCTTTATATATAGACTCTGCCCATTAACACTGGATTTAGTGTTAATCTATAAAGTGTGATGTCTCACTTGACGATTTCTTCACTAGGTGAAGTGGGGAGAGGAGGATGATCAGAGGGCAGCGAGAAGGTGGTCATCAGGATACACAAGCATTCTTCATATTTGTTATATTGATTTATATGACATTTTTCTCAGTATGTCAATGCACTGTGGGTGTAACGGTTCAAGCGGAGGGCCAAGCGCAGACCGATCCATACCCATTTATTCACAAAACCAAAAACCAAATCCTACGCTTGTAAACACTGGTGGGAAGTCAAATAGCAATAACAGGGCAGAACAACCTCAAAAATCACAATCCAAAAATGTAGCTGGAGAATCAGGCAAAGGGTCGGTAAACATGGAACTATCAGGCAGCAAAGGGAATGCTCAGTGTGGTGAAAACTCTGCCAATGTTGGCTGAAGCTGTTGTTTAAGGGATTACTTGGGAAATGCATTCCAGGTGAGTTCAAAAATCATGTGGAGCGGATCAGGGAAGGCTAACTGGCTGTATGGAAGGTCTGTGCAGGTGCCAGTTCTGGGGGCGGATAGTGCAGTGATCAAGACTGTGGGCGGTTAGTCTACATCTGTGTTTTTCAACACGGTGTTTGGGGTCCCCCAGACAGTTTCTGCTCCTCCCGGATCCCTTCCAGACAGTCCGCATTGCCGCTCCCTTTCAGCTCCCGGAGCAAAGACGTGGGCAGTCTGCAGGTCCCCGAGGACCGTATTGGGAAACGGTGGTCTGCTCGGTGCGATGTGTCCTGGTGTGTCTCACTTTCAGAATGGTGGAGCGATGAACTGAAGGGGAAGAAGTGTAGAAGGCGGAGCCACACGGCACGGCCAGAGAGGAGGAAGAAAGCAACCCTCGTGTCCGGTAACCTCTCCCTAGCTACCGCCTCTGTAGTGATTTTGATGACATCAGGGGCTATAACTCCTCTCCTGCCGCTCACTTGCTTTGTCCTGCCCCCTTCTTAGGGCCCTACATAGTCTATATGCTGAAAGATGTCGACATACTAGAAGACTGGACAGCCATTAAGAAGGTACTTGTCTACCACACGTGGCATCAGTTCCTCTGCCTGTGAAAATGACATCCTGTCCTTGTCCTTGGATGTGTCATCATACTACAAAGACTTTTTTTACCTGTTACATGTCATTAATCTCAATAGCACCTTGTAGGTTGAGATCTATTTGATTGTTCAGTAAATAATTTGTATTCATACCATGCCCAAAGAAAATATATACTGAATTCAACAACAACAACAAACAGTAATAATAACAATTAAAAATATTGTAGGTATTCCATATACTAATAATATTGTGTTTGCAAAGTTCTGAAGTTTAGATCTAGTACTTTGCTATGGAGACATAATCTTATTAACATTGGTGTCACATTACTGCTCAGTGAAGTATGTGAGACGTGTGCCTGTCAGTGCACTGCAGTCCCTATTCTGCCGACTCTGTTTCAGCACCTGCTGTACTTGTTTAACGTCATTGTTTACAGTAGAAATGACTGGACGTGCCATTCAGGGGCCGCTGTGCTGCTGTCTTACAGGCTAAAGCAGCTGTGTTGCCCTTGAAGAAGAAATCGGAAAGTAGGTCTGGAGCTCGGCATGTGCGGCATTTGCGTTCCGTCTCTCGTACAGCCCTTCTGTCAGGCCATCAGTCCCCCCCCCCCCCCGCCTCCTGCTACACATCAGCCCCAAAAGCTCCTTCATAGAATGACTGCAAAAACAAAGTGGGAACCTTTTCCACTTTTAAAGGCTCTATGATCATTGTAGGCCATGGGTACATTTAGTAAAGAACCGAGAGCTTCTGGAGTCTGCATGGATCTTGCAGTTTCAGTAATGGTTCCTGAATCTGCTCTGACATACCATGTTGAACTATTTACAGAGCCACATAAGACTTAAGAATCACTCTTAGTGCCACTTTAACCTGTATCTCTGTACTGGTCCTACGTGTGTGTACGTTTATGATTCAGTGGTGCTTGTGAAAGGATAGCGTTTGTTTTCTAAAGTGTCTTTATGAACTGCGGGTATCGTTTTTCAGCCCTTTGTTGGAAAGTTGTTATATTATTTGTGGGTTTGGAAAGACGGTGAAAGAGCCGTGTCCTTGCCATTCACTACCTATAAGAATGAGGAGTGAATGTGCACTGCAGTATAAATTGATAGGAGGAGGCGTTTTACAGTATTAGCTACTTTATAGCGTATACATAGGCCTGACAGGGGGAGTTTCCCTCGGGGGTTTCTGCCTTGCTCTGCTCCCACGGGTGTCTGATGTGATGTGTTGGTCCACCCCCCCCCTTCCCCGTGGCCTTTCAGACAGACAGCAGTATGGTGCACGATGCCAGGGGGGGACGCTGTACTACGAGGGGGAACGTTTCTGCAAAGGGAACACGATCCTCCTGCACGTCAAGGAAGACAGCACCTCACAGTCAGTCCCGCTCTCTCTCCGCATCTCTCTGTCGCTCCGTCCTTCTCCTTCTCTGCTCCTCTCCCCCTCTCCCTGTTGGCATGTCATCATCTCTCCTGCGGCCTGTTTCAAACTGAACGACACCAAGGATTGTTCTTGTGCTGTCCCAGACAATACGAACATGGTTGAAATTCATAGAGCAGCTGATGCTGGCTTTCCGGATGACGGAGGTGCCACACTTACACAAAATGGCTCTGTGGCCCCTTTTTAGCAACAGGAAGTGTGTCCTGATTGGTTTAAAGGCCTGTACAGGTACTGTGTGTCCGGTGCATTGACCTCTGACCATAGTGACCTGGATATGTCAAAAGTCAAAGTACCTTTATTGTCAACTTCAGCTATCTTATCCGTCCCTCTGAAATGAAATTATGATTGATTTGATTGATCCCAGGGGGAAATTCTGATGCATATACCATCGCGAGACGACGTGCTGTCTGATGGCAGCTTTTTAGCACACCGTGGTGGAATGAGCCACTGGCTGTATGAGCTCTAGTATAGCGCCCCCTGGAGCGGATGGGCAGAATTTTTCACAATTATCATATTTCTGGTCACACTGACAAAGACACAATGACAATTTAAACATAACATACTGAGACTCTGACATAAGACCGAAAATGCAATTTAAAAATACAGTTTCAAAATAGTTTTAAATGCAGTTATGCGATTGGACAATGAATTGAATGTATAATAAAAGATTTTGGTTACAGTATTATGAATGCTATAATAGATTTTGGTTACAACATTATGAATGTTCCATAATAGATTTTGGTTACAGTATTATGAATGTACTACAATAGATTTGGGTTACAGTATTATGAATGTACTACAATAGATTTGGGTTACAGTATTATGAATGTGCTATAATAGATTTTGGTTACGGTATTATGAATGTACTACAATAGATTTTGGTTACAGTATTATGAATGTGTTATAATCAATATTGGTTACAGTATTATGAATGTTAAGTAATATGTTTTTGGTTGGCAGGCTCTTGAATGACCCTCTGGCCAGCCTGTGGCTCTAGGTTTGGAAAAGCCTGGATTTATGATCAACATTACAGATTCTAATATTAATAATTAGTAATTAGCAATAGGTTTGGAGGAAGTAATTTTGAAACATCTTCAGCTCAAACCCGCATGCAGTGAAACAGCAGAAAAGAGACAGTGTTTGCACACTGATGACAGCATGTGTGAAATGATCTGAATCGACGACTTCCTCAGTAATGGAATGAGAGATGGATTTTGGGCTTAGAGTACAGTAGGCATGTGTGTGCCTGTATTTGACATTGGTGTGTGAGGAGAATAGAGGAGATGCCAGATATGTGCCAAACGGCTGCAGTTAGACTTGATCAGCAGTGTCAGTCAAAATGCACCCCTGTCTCTCCCTCAGGGCGGTAATCACGGCGGTGAGCTCCGGCGAAGTCTGGTTGAGGAGAACGGACGGCAGCAAAACCAAGATTTATGTTTCGCAGCTTCAGAAAGGCAAATACACAATCAGCAAGGCCTGAGGAGGGAGGAGGGAGGAGGGGGGGCAGCGGGATATTTCACTCAGAGCACTGCTTCTGTATCTAACAAAAGATGCACTTAAGTACTACTACTACAGCGCTGTAATTTTATTTATATTTTGTTAAACTGTAAACTGGAAGAGATTTGTGCTTTTAACTGGCTATTTAAATGATCATATATTTATAATTGAAATAATATAACTGACAATGTTGAATGAGAACCTTCTTGTGCGTGTTTTCTCGTGTGTTAGGTTGAAAAGCATGTGTGCAGAGCAGCACTGAAAATAATGCAGTGGTGGTGCAGTATTAGAGATTATCCACCAGGTGGAGCTTGTGTCTTTCTAGAGAGAGACAGTCTGCGAATGACTCATCAGTGATTGGCTATGAAAACAATATCAGGGATACATGTACAAAGAACAAACTTGCGGTAATGTTTTTTTGGGTATGTGTGTGAAATGGCATTAATCAGTGCATCTTCACAGTCAAATGAGGCCTTTTACCTTCAGAAATGTTTGGTCATAATTATTTTCAGCTCATATTAAGGACAACAAAATAGTTCAGCTCAAGCTGTGTAAGGCCCTTATTATTTGCAGCTCTGCCTGATTGACACAAAAGTCACACTATGAACGTATAACAAGCCTTCAATCAGTGTCTGTGGTGAACATTTCATTAGAAGCATTTGCAAAAGGAGATGAATGTCAGTGAACCACTGGCAATGGGACATTGACTGCTCATTGTGCTTCAGCTTTGACTGCGGCAGCATCTGAGTGACCATCAGGTACTCCAGCCATTAACAAAACACATATATTGATCAAGAAAGTATGTGCATTCATCAGGAATTTAGCTTGTGGGAGTTTTACTTGCACAAAAATGTTCTGAGGGCCGAACGAAAAAAGATTGGTTCAGAAAGATAACGAATCAGATTGTACAGGAGGTGGGTCCAAGCAACTAGAGGAGAACATAAGAACATAACTATACAAACGAGAGGAGGCCATTCGGCCCATCGAACTCGCTTGGGGAGAACTTAACTAATAGCTCAGAGTTGTTAAAATCTTATCTAGCTCTGATTTAAAGCAATCCAAGGATTCAGCTTGCACTACATTATCAGGAAGACTATTCCATACTCTGACTACA